TTAACTATATACAAATTTATTATTACAACAAAACCATTAAAGGGTAAGGACATTGATTTTTATATATATGTACAAATTTACAAAACAATAAACCCTATACTATCTATCTAATTATTGTTAAAAAATACAAGTGAACAGTAGAACAGTCCAGAACAAAGGATGTTGATTGTGCAACCTTATAACTCTATTAATATACAAACTATTACTTCAGCTTATTCACATAAGCTATAAGGCACAGGCTACAAATATAACAAACAATCCTTAGACTACCTGGGTGCCCGCCAGGGCAGGGGCCTCACACCCAAGGTATCACTACAGGAAAGGAGGTGTGGGGAAAGAAAAGGAGAGGGAGACCCCAAAGACTCCTAAGCACCCCTTATCACCCAGGGCCAGTTCATGTGGTGCCCTTTCACAACCCTGGGGGTCCCTCCCCTGTGGGGACCCCCTCTTCAGGGTTACTTACTACTCCACAGTCCTGGAGGGTTGCCTCCCATTCTCCAGGTCAAGCTCTGTCCCTGCCAGGTTTTCCTGCCGCCTCACTTTGCTGCCACTGGTCTGGCTTAGGGCCACGTGCACCGCTGTGTGTAGCAGGTGCTTCACTTCATGCTAGGGGTTGGAGGCCCAGGCAGCCTTGTACAGCACCAGGGCTCGGTCTGCTCCTGGACTCCCTATGCAGCGTTGTCTGCACTGAGCTGCTGCCCCATGCCAGCAGCTGTAGACCCAAGCCACCTCAAGCGGCTTCCAAGGGTCTCTCACCCTCTGTGCAGCGCCTCCTGCACCAAGCTCCTGGCCTCGTGTGGAGGCTGGGGACCCGAGTTGCCCAAGTGGCTCTGAAGATCCTGCTCCGTGCACTGGCCTGTGCACTGTCTTTGTGGCCACATGCCAAAGGTTGCAGATCCAAGCCACCTCACAGCTCCCAGGGGCTGGCAGCTGTGCCATGCTGCGCACTGAGAGCCTACTGCTGGAGCTGTCTGCAACTCCCCGCAAACAGAAGTCTTCAGGGGGCTCTTCTGGGCTACTGCTTCACCCTGTTGAGCAGCTTTCATCAGCTCTTTTCAGCCCCACTCTTCTCTCTTCTCCCTCCTTGACGCATCTCCCTTGTGCTGGGCACGCAGCTCCTTTTATTTTCTCCAGGGCTCCGCCCCTGAAGTCTTTCAGATCGACACTGTTGCAGTCTACAGTCAGGTCCAGGAGAGCTCTTCTCCCCCTCCCCTCAGGAAGGGGGTGTGACTTCATTTCCCTTGCTGCCTCCTGATTGGTGGATGGGCTCCACCAATCAAAACAGCAGAATCTCAAGACTGGGACTCAACCCAAGCTCTGAAAGGTAAGCCTGCTAGACTATGAAAATTGCTGTATCATGACTACACATTTTCATGTAGGTATTTATCTGTGTGAGCAAGACCTCAGTCTTGTATAGCTCAGATCAGGATCAATAACCATCCATTAAATATTAATGGGTAGCTCTTGAAGTGGCCATAGCTTGAGGCAGTGCACTAGCTGAGGCAGAAGCAAGCTAGTTTGGGCTGGTTGATCTGGGGGCAGAGGTGAAGGGAGATTGGAGTTTGGAGCAGTGGAATGTTACCTAAGGGTGAACAGAAAATCCAGATGATATAGGATGGGTTTAAAAGAAGGGGTTACAGACTATACAGACTAAACAAGGGTGCCTCCCCTACACAGGAAGCACCAAGCAGAAGGGAAGTGGCAGACCAATTTTTTTTTTTTTTAAGGGAGACCCCAGTTTATGAGGTCATACAAGGCGAACCAAGAGCAGCCTTCCTAAACACTGGACTCCTGAAGGAGTTTGAGTGAAGGGAATGGTGTTCAAGATGTTTAATGATCTGTATTCTCTTGTGGTTGCTTTTAAAGTAAGAAATTATGTTTAATTTAGAAACTCTGTATAGCTTATTTGTTGCTGCGTGAACTGGTTTGCTCATACCTACCACATGGCTTTTGAAGAGTTAAACTGTAAAGCAGAAGTTCATGATTTTAATAGAATATGGAGGAAGGATGTACTTAAACTCCAGGGGAGAGGGGATGTGAGGAGTTAATGAGTCACAGGGTAGACAATTGGATCATGGGTCTTAGCTTTCAGGAGCAGGTGACTGACAGACAGTGAATTTTTGCTGCAAGAGAGTGCCAACAGGCTTCAAGACAGCAGGAGCATCTGGATTCTCTCTTCAAACTCCCTAGGGTTAAAGCACATGGAAGGGGAAGGAATTCAGCATTTGGAATACCTGACAAGTCTGGTGAGGGAGTGTCTGAGAGAAGCCTGACCAGATTTTGTCATAACCTTTGATAGAGCCGGTGAATGCTCCCTTCAAACCACGGGCAGATCTAGGGTGGATGCACTGGTGCACTTGTACCCCACTTTGATTCCTGGTCCATCCAAAGTTTAAAACCAAATGCCTAGAAATGCTGTTGCCACTTCCAGTTGGGGGATGCTGAGGAAGTTGCTTTACTTCATGGCTTATTATAACCTATCTCAGGGGTGGGCAGCTTTTTGCGCTGGAGGGCCACAGTGAGTTTGGTTGAGCTGTTGAGGGCCACAGGCACATGTGCGCAGATGCACACACACAAGCTCCCCACAGCTCTCCCAGCACCCCCTCCCCTACCTTCAATCTTGAGCACATGGCCAGGTTGGGCAGGAGCTGTGCCAGCTGCACCCACATGGCTTGAAGTGGTGCGCAGGAATATAATGTGGTACTGACCTGGCTGCATACCAGGTGCTTGAGAAGAAGGGAACAGCACAGCATTGGTGTGGTCATGCCTGGATAACCTGCTGCTCCCAACCCCCATCTTGCACTCGCTCCCCCACCCCAAGTCTCTGGCATGCGGCTCAGCTGGGCTGGTGCCACACTGTGTTCTCAAATGCCGCTTTGGGCCGCAGGTGCAGCTGGCATGGCTCCTGCCTCACCCAGCCTCATGTCGGGGTTAGACAGGAGCTGTGCCACAGTTGGGCACTAGCCAAGTCAGCTGCTCTAGCTGCATCCATGTGGCGCAGCCCAAAGCTGCACACAGAAATGGCACGGCACCACGTTAGCAGCGCCCATGCCCTTACCAGGTCCTGGGTTGGCCTGGAAGGGCCTGGATAACCTGCAGGTCCTGGCCCTCTTCTCCCTGCATCTCCTCTGCCACCAACAGGAAGAATCATATCTGAGCTACAACTCTCAGGGGGGGCCGAGCTATCTGGTTTGCGAATAGTTGCAGGGTTGGAGCTGCACACAGACAGCCTTCTGGGCAAAAGCCTGGCCAGGAGCTCGGCACCCCTGCCTTGGAGCATACCCTGGGAGCTGGGAAGCAGGATGGGCAGGGCTGGGGAGGGGAGGGGAGTGGCTGCCTGGCCGCTGGAGCTGCTGCAGCTGGCTATGACACAGGAAAGCGAGAAGGGTGAGAAGCATTGAAAGCCAGGGAGGCGGTGGGCTGGATACAGTTCTCCTTCAGAGGAGCAACTGTGGGCCAGAGAGAATCATTTGGTGGGCTGAATCCAGCCTGGGGCCATATTTTGCCCACCCATAATCAATCTGATCCCTTCTAAACACTTCAGTCATAAGTGTTAACAACCTCTCTTCTTTTTAATGGTCTTAATGTTACACCAATCAAGCTATCTTTTGTTCTGCAGTTCTGCTATCTGTTAGCTGGCCTTGGTAATGTAGCTCCTATTTCACAGCCCTGAAAATTGTTTTTAACTGATTCCAATGAAATTATATATTTTTTTTGCTTCAGTCTTAAACTGAATAATATGGCCCTTAGGCCCTCAGTATATGAGTAGTATGAACTTCTAGTATATTTTTTAACTGGAGAAAAATATGTTGTGTTATATGTGGTGATGCATCTCACCATGTGCACCTTCGTTTTCAAAATTCTAGATCCACCCATGCTTCCAACTAATTAGTCTGGACTCAAGTTCTCTCATATGCTATACCATTTCCTGGGAGGAATCACTTCTGACTAAAAGAAACATTTTGTTCGATTCCTTTCGAGGTGTCACTTATTAAGGTATTCCCTGCATTACCTGTATGCAGTTTTCTACTGCAGTGTACTGTATTTTACAAGTGTTCACCAGCTTAAACTGGGCACTCTCTCCTTGCACACTTGTTATTAAATGCTTCGTTGGCATGTAGTGTCTGGGTGTTAATGTGCAACAATATGTAATTATCTAAGTCTGTTAGTATTTTAGCCTTGTTGTCTCACAGTTAAGTCATGCCATGGTATAAGGCTGGGCAGGTTGCACTAGTTTACCTCTCTGAGGTTTTTAGTCAGGGTCTTACACACAGCTCCCATATATCCTTTGAAGGTTGTCGCAACTTTCTTTCTTAGATTAAATTACTAATGAAGAATCCATTGTGGTCACTGTCCTACAGAACCTGTCTCAAATTAATGAAATATGTTCTCTTCTCCATCCTCCATCTACTTAAATATATTTTCTTTTAGAGTTGGCTGAAAACTTTGAGCATTGTCTTTTGTCTGGCCTGTTTAAGCCTCATGTATTTGGGAGCTAATGTTATTACTCCCTTTAAAGGAAACTAAATTATGAATACCTTGGTACACCTTGATGCTGGCCCTCAGTTAGTCTTGGCAGTGTTCATCATTATGTTCTTTGTTTTGGGATAGGCTTGAAGATAATGGCTGGAACGAATTCTCCATGGGTATATTTTCAGAGAAACAATAACTTTAATTCTCCTTCTCTTTTGTAAGGTTACCCTTGCACACACATCCACTCAATGTTGTGGTGTTGGAGCTTGAGTGACGTGATGGCCTGCGTCTGCCCTGAAGAAATTTTGAACTTTTCTGTACTTAATCTAGCATATTCTTTGTAGTCATTCAAAAACATTTTAAATTACAATAAAGAAAGAGATGAGCATTTATTTTCTGCTCTTGAAAAGAACTTTAAAAATTTTCTGGTGCCCCTAAGATTGAAATGTATTCAGTAACTGTCAGACTTGTCTCAGTTGTGATTAGTGATTTTGTTATAACATGCATGTACCACTTATATATTTTAGGGATTTTCTTCCACGAGGATCTGGAATTGTAACAAGAAGACCATTAGTTTTACAACTTATCACTGCCAAAGCAGGTAAGATTTCTCTTTCTCCCCTTCCATAATATATATGCAGCAATAAGTCACAGCTATAGATATATAGATATGTATAGAGAGGAATAGCTATATATGTAGCTGAACATACATACATGCATACACAGCAATAAATAATAGCTATATATAATATGTATGTGTATATATGTATATATAACGTGCGCAAAGCTATATAGATTCTACGTTCTAACAGTTAGCTATGTATATAATATGTATGTGTGTGTATGTATAGCTATAATTTATTGGGGGGTGGGGTTTAAAATTGTAGAATCATAGAAAATTAGGGAAGGGACCTCAGGAGGTCATCTAGTCCAACCCCCTGCTCAAAGCAGGACCATCCCCAACTGTATCATCCCAGCCAAGGCTTTGTCTAGCCAGGTCTTAAAAACCTCCAAGGATGGAGATTCTACAACGTCTCTGGGTAGCCTGTTCTAGTGTTTTACTACCCTCCTGGTGAGAGTTTTTCCTAATATCCAACCTAAACTTACCTTGCTGCAACTTGAGATCATTGCTTCTTGTTCTGTCATCTGCCACCACTGAGAACAGGATAGCTCAGGGGTTCTCAACTTTTTGGATCAGTGTACCCCTAGTGGCCGGACACAGAGCAGTGTAGCCCCGGCTTCCAGCCAGATGGGCAGTGCCTGTGCGCAAGCATGGGATAGTGCATGGTGGCGCCCCATCCCTGCCTGCCTGCGTGTTGCCTTCTAGGGCCTTCTAGCGTACCCCCAGTTGACAACCCCTGGTCTAGCTCCATTATCTTTGGAACTATCCTTCAGGTAGTTGAAGGGTGTTATTAAATCCCACATCAGTCTTCTTTGCTGTAGACTAAATAAGCCCAGTTCCCTCAGCCTCTCTTCATAAGTCATGTGCCCCAGCTCTCTAACCATTTTGGTTAGCCTCCACTGCGGGGAGGGCCCAAAACTGGACGTAGTACTCCAGATGCGGCCTCACCAGTGCCAAATAGAGGGGAATAATCACTTTCCTCTATCTGCTGGCAACACTCCTACTAATGCAGCCCAGTATGCTGTTAGTCGTCTTTGCAACAAGGGCACACTCTTGGCTCATATTAAGCTTGCTGTCTATTATAACCCCCAGGTCCTTTTTTGCAGAGCTGCTTCTTAGCCAGTCAGTCTCCAGCCTGTACTGGTGCATGGGATTGTTTCATCCTAAGTATAGGACTTTAGACTTCTCCTTATTAAACTTCATGAGATTTCTTGTGGTCCACTCCTCCAATTTATTTAGGTCTCTCTGAATCCTAACCCTATTCTCCTGTGTATCTACTACTCTACCCAGCTTGATGTTATCAGCAAACTTGCTGAGAGTGCACGCCATACCATCTTCCAGGTTGTCGATGAAGATGCTGAACAAAACCAGCCCCAGGATCAACCCCTGGAGCACTCCCCTTGATACTGGCTGCTAGCCAGACATTGAGCCATTAATTACTACACTTTGAGCCCAATGATCCAGCCAGTTTTCTATCTACCTTACAGTCCATTCATCCAACCTGTACTTCCTTAGCTTGTTTGTAAGAACACTGTGGGAAACTATATCAAAAGCCTTGCTAAAGTCAAGGAATACCACATTCACTGCTCTCACAACAACCACAGGGACAGTCACCTCATCATAGAAGGCAATCAGGTTGGCCAGGCAGGACTTGTACTTGGTAGCCATGTCCAGACGAGCATGGGCCTGTGGTATGTGACACATACTTCACATTCAGCTGTTCTCCATGCTGCAAGGTAGCAGTGTGGGCTTTTTTTTGACCTTGGGAGATCCCAGGGCCAAAAAACTCCACACAATAAAAAGCGGAGTGGTGCACACTGTGGCAGCATGCACCGCTCAAAACTGCCAGGCTCCAAGCAGCAGCATTGCTACTGCTGCAGCCCCAGGAGGCCTCCAGGACCCCAAGTAATGCTGCTGAGGCCAGCTCAGTGTTGGCCTTAGCGTTCCCTACCCCTGCTGTGCACCGGAGGGCACGTGGCACAGGAGTTCCCTAGGGACAAGTAGCAGTGGGACAAGGCATGCTGCTGCTTCTTGTACCCAGGGAAAAAAATGTCCGCACTCATGTGGACATGGTTGGTGAGTCCTTGCTGCCTGTTCCTAATCACTTTCTTCTCCTCCAACTGCTCAGGAATGGATTTCTTGAGGACCTGCTCCATGATTTTTCCAGGGACTGAGGTGAAGCTGCCTAGTCTATAGTTCTCCAGATCCTCCTTTCCTTTCTTAAAGGTGGGCACTATATTTGTCCTCTTTCAATTGTTCAGAACCTCTCCCGATCACCATGAGTTTTCAAAGATAATGGCCAGTGGCTCTGCAATCACTTTGGCCAACTTCCTCACCACCCTTGGGTTCATCATGTTCAGACCCATGGACTGGTACACATCCAGAAAACACCACCTGAGTTCCTGTCTCCTTCACCATCCTGAGCCATATAGTCACTTTTGATCTGCTCAGGGTCTGTTCTGTGCCCCCACCCACCACAGCATCATTGGTGTCCACATGGGTGAACAGCCCATGGGGTAGTAATCAAAGGGCCAGGTGAGTCTCAGTAATCCTTCAATGACATTTGGAATCTGGGCTCTGGGCAGCCAGCAGACCTCCCAAGACAACAGTTCAGGCTGGCAGATGGATGCCTCTATCCCCTGTAGAAGGGAGTTGCCAACCACCACTTTCTTTTGGTGGCAGTGGTCTCAATCTTCCAAACCTTTGGGAGGCCTGGCCTGGCTTGGCCTCTTCTGCTTATGGAACATGCTTCTCCTTATATGTTCTCCAGCCAAACTGCTGCAGGTAGGGATGATAACTTCTGCTTGCTGCCAGAGGTCACAAGCTTCCGCTATCCTGGGAGTCCATGTCCTTTTCCTTGTCCAGAGCTGCCTCTGGCAGTCCTTCCTCTGCAGTCCTAGAGGTCTCTTCCAGCATCAAATTGATGAGCTCCTCATGGCTGAGGATGCTTCAGAGCCTTTTGACCTCTTCCTGTAACTTGTTACTTGCTTCATGAGGGTCACCATCAGGAGGCACCAGTAACATTGCAGACACTCCCCCACCTGGCTGTCACTGGAAGGAACCTGCAAGCCGCAGTCCCCACGGTGCTAAACCAGGATCTGGGTGGAAGCCTTGACAGAGGGCAGACCTGACTGGACAGACACCTCACAGGTGCAAGCAGAAGAAATGGCAGTGGCAGTGGCCCTGGAATTGTGATGTCCTCCAGTCATCTCTCTGGGTTTCTTAAATCCACCGCCTACTTCTTCCTACCCCACTCTCCAAGCAGACCTTCCTTAGCAAACTCCCCTGTAAGAAGGCCTGTTCGCTGCTCCTTGGTCCCAAAGGTTTCCTTTTCCCTGTTAAGCTGCTTCCTCTTACCAACCTTACAGTGAAGGAAGGAGAGAGAGAGAGTTTCCAGACAAATTCCCTAGTGAACTCTCCACTCATTCTGGTCTCTAGTTAAACAAGCCTGCCTGCCTGCCTCACACACTTAGTGTCTATGTGTGTATTATATATAAGTATTTTACACACACACACACACACACACACACACACACGCACACTCAGAGTATGTGGTGTACAACCCTAAATAGGTGTAACAAATCATGGACTAAATATAGACATTGGATTTATGATGCATTATAACCTGCCTGACATATGACTCCCCAGGTACCTTTCCACTAGTTAGCTGCTATGTTCATCCCCCTTCTCTCTTCCCTCCCCTGCCGCCCCCTGCCTGTCTCTCACCCACTGACTCCTTAGTTTTTTTCTTCACTGACTGCCTGTCTTGCATTCATACCAGCCCAGCCTCTGGCTTCTTTACTATTAATTCCATCCAGGAAGAGCACACACACCAACTGCAGAGGCTTCCTCAGCCTGATGAAAGGTTTTTAAACCCAAAGCTTACTAAGAATTTTTTTCCCCAACTATTTAAGTTGGTCTAATAAAAGGTATCAGAGTCACCCAAAGAACCTTGTCTGCCAGTTGTCCAAAATTGAGTTCACAGTGAGGAATAAAGGCCCCAGTACTGAAAACATTTGTACATGCAGGTCATGTCTATGTTGCTTCCCTGCAGAGCCAGAGATGGCTGCTGAGAGTCAGCCTTCACCTCTGGGCACATCTAAACCTACCGATTAGGTGGAGTGTGGCACTTCAGAGGCACGCTCTTAGGACTGCTCTTAACCATCTAATCTGTGTAATTACTGAGCCTGAGCATTTGTGGAGTGGAGGGAGGAATATTCTTGATGGTGGTCTCAAACTTGGCAGAGAGGTGATATAGACACGATCACAGAGTTCAGCCGAGCTCACACTCCCACCTGAGCCCAAGGTCCATAATAATTGGATTAAACCTTACAACATGCTATACATTTTCTTGTTGTTATGATGGCGGCCTTATGGCTAAACCCAAAATGTGGAAAAGTTTAATGAACAGATTTTTCTACGGTCTAACTGTTTGCTTAGGTTGTCAGTAACCCTCAAAATGAATGGGAGGGGAGGTGTTGCTGATCACAGAGGAAGGGAGTGGGTGCCAAAAGGGTTGGGGAGTTCTTGCTGCTTTGGGAGACTTGAAGTCCCTGGCTCCTGCTCCCACAGTATGCATCTCACTGGATCCACCCCTGAGTGAGAGGGGGACAAATGAGGTTTATTGTATCAATGTGTTTGTTTGGCTAAAGATAAAACTATACCTTGAATACAACACTATACTTGAGGAGTTGAAATGTTTTGTCAGAATTTTTTATCTTATCTAAGTGGAGTATCATTTGCAAGTATACTGCCTGATCTCAGTAGGTTGCAAATCATCTGGCATATATCACAATCCACTTGATTTTTACTACCAGCAACATAGAACAATCAGCAAATTTTATCATCAAGCTGTTGACTTCCATTTTTAATCCACAAATGTTAAATTATATTAAAAAATTAAGTTGGATTGATTTTGAAGTTGTAAAAATCAAGTATTCAAAAATTAGGAAATGACAGAATTCAAGTTGCCTGTCATT